ACGAACTACTACCTTTCTAAATTTGAGCCCAAATATTTGATTGGTTATTTTTAAAATGTTATTGAAAGTGACTGTTATTAATAGGTTCAGTGAAATTCATATTAATGATTTTAGTGATATATTGAGTACATGATATTGTTGCTTTCGAATGTTTAAAGAGATTTAGAAATATTTTAAGTATACAAGTGGACTTATCCGGTTCGCCGGTGAGGTGTAAGTGGACCTATCTGGGACGCCGGTAGGGATTAGGTGGACTCATCCGGTACGCCCGTGAGGTATAAGTGGACCTGCAGGGATTAAGTGGACCTATCTGGGACGCCGATAGGGATTAAGTGGACCCATCAGGACGCTAATGGGGTATATAGGTGACTTACTTGGGACGCTAGTAGGGTATTTTGTGAAATCCTTTGAATTATGCACTGCCGTTAAAGTATTATATGCATTTCAATCATTTGGATTGTGTTTAATTGTGCATTTCTGAAGGTGAGATTGTTATCTATAAATGCTAGTGCTCGCATTATTTTTTTTTGACTTCCATTTTGAAAGTTTGTTTATATCTTTCATTGATGATTATTTTTAGGATTATGATGATCACTTATTGAGTAGCCAAACTCATCAAACTATGGTAAACATTTTTTCAGGATAACTACGGATTCATTTTGAGTGCTAGTCAAGATCAACCTTGGAAGATGTTGTTGTTGTGCTAGCTTTCTTTTGTTACTTTGTAAGACCTCGCCACTGTAAATTTGTTTTATCAAGAGATATATATATGTTTTGTCTGTCACATCTCAGGAATAACAGTATTGTAAATTCTTGGGGTGTGACATGTAGCTACCTCTAAAATGTATTCCAATTGTTCTGGTTCTACCTTTAAGTGGCATGCAAAGTGTAGTGACACAAATAAATAAGTAGATCCAGGATCAATTAAAACATGAGCTGCTTTTTGAAAGATAATAAGAGTACCTTGGATCACTGATTTTGATGCCTGAGCATCTTGCTGGGTAATTGCAAGTACTCTCCCCTTCATCTAAGGTTTCTGGGTTGCCTCTTCATGCCTCGAATGTTGATGCATTTTCAAGGCAGGACAATCTTTGATCTTGTGCCCCAACTTCCCACATTGGAAACAAACTCTGATTTCCCAATAACAGGGTTTCATCTCATGTCTCTTCCCACATTTTTTACAAGACTCTAGTGGGCTTTGAAATGGCGCCGGCCTTGGCCATTTGTTCGCTCCTTAAGAGTGTTGTCAACTAGGTGGTGTGGGCCTATATTAATTTTTCTGGCTATTCCTCGTTTGGTAATCTTCACAGTCTTTTTCAACAATTTGGGATCTGTCTCACTATTTTGACATAGGTCCTTAATTTTAAGACTAATATTCGGCTTCTGATGGCTAGTCTTTCAAATTTTTTTACCTTTCTTGCTTCGTTGTTGCCCATATGTAGAGCAAATCTGGCCAATTCAATATACTTGGGCTCGTATTGTGCCACTGTCTTGCTTCCTTGAACTAATTCCAGAAATTCCATTTTTTTTTTTGTTTCAAATAAAATTTAGGAAGTACTTTTCATTAAATGTCTCTAGAAATACCTCCTAAGTCAAGGGTTATTTTCTTGGCTCAATACTCTTTTTGCCATTCGCCACCAATGTTGTGCTTCACATTCTAACATAAAAACTGCCAAGGCCACCTTCTTATTATCAGGACATTCCATTGCCTCGAATATTTTCTCCAATTGCATAATCCATCCCTCGGCTTCTAGTGGATTTACAGCACCCTTAAAAGAAGGTGGATTCAATTTCTTAAATTGTTCGATATTACACCCACAATTTCCCGTAGCTGACTGCCTGGGTGGATTGTTGTTCTCCATCTGATGTTGCATTAGAGCAACCATATTTTCCAAGGCTTTATGAATTCCTTCCATATTAGCTTCAGCCATTCTGGATCTTGATCTCGTACCGGTTTGTATATAGAATAAATATGGCTTAAAGTACATTCTTTTCAAATTTTTTAGGAATCTTAAACCTATTGCTCGGATACCATAATTGTCACGCCCCAAAATTTCTAATATTCCCGAGGTGCGACAAACTATTCTTATACTAGAAAAAATTCAAATTCCTATTAATATATATTGTAACAAAACAAATTCTTCTATTAATTAAAATTTGTATAAAGTTTGCTCACAATTGGTATTAACATGAAGTCTAGGTATACATCTGTTGATAGAATAAAAACTTACAGTAGTGAAGTTAAACAAAAGTTACAAAGGAGAATTTAGTTATGACATGACTATATCGTCTTCACAAGCTGGTCCTGATGTCTATTTAACTATGAGACTGCAATTACCCTGAAAAATATTTATCATAGTTTGGTGAGTTTGGCTACTCAGTAAGTGATCATCATGGTCGTAAAAATAATCATGGTTGGAAGATATAAACATTTTTAAAAGAATGTAGATTAAAAAAAACAACATGAAGAGGAGCATTGCGAACAAAAACATTTATGAATAACAATTTCACTTTTCACAAATCCACAGTTAAACATAATCCAAATGAAGGAAATGCATATAAACATTTTAACAAAAAATGCATAATTCAAATGATTTCACAAAATACCCTACTGACGTCCCAAGTAGGTCACCTATATACTCCTTCAGCGTCCTGATGGGTCCAAATAACCCCTGCAGGTCCAAACGTACTTCACCGACGTATCTGATGAGTCCAAATAGCCCCTACCGGATGGGTCTAAACAATTACTATAGGTCCAAACATACCTCACCGGCGTCCCGGACGAGTCAAAATAGTCCCTACCGGCATAATCGGATAAGTCCTAACAATCCTTGCAGATCCGATCATACATCACCGGCGTCCCGAATGAGTCAAAATAGTCTCTACCGGCATAACTGGATAGGTCTTAACGATCCCTACAGGTCCACTTATACTCAAATTATATCTGAAACTCTTTAAAAACCAGAAAACAGCAACATCATATATACAAACTATTATTGAAATTATTAACATGAATTCACTTGAAGCAATTTAAACAATCACTTTCATTAAAATATATGTAAGTAGCCAGTAAAACATTTTGGGAAATAATTTCAGAAAAGTAGTAGTTCAGAAAGACATTCTTGAAATGTAACATGATAGACAATCTAATATCAATAGCAAAACTCTTATGGAAATCCAAAATTAAATACGGAATTATCACAATTTATGGAATTGCCAATTCGCAAATAATCGTTTCATAAGAAATACTACAAGTGCAGAAATATCAATTTTTCAAATAATGAGGCAGTCATTTGCACATGAATTTTACAATATCTAAATATTCAAAAACAGTCGAAAGAAATCTCACAATTTTACTAAAAGCAGAAATATCACATTTATTTCTAATAATTTTACAGTATCTAAAATTCTCTAACAATAGATAAGAAAAATAAATTTATTTCTAAGAATTTACAACATTTAAAATTTCCAACATAGATAAAATATCATAATTTTATTAAAAAGATTATTTTTCGAGACAATGAGGTCACTTACACATAAAACTTATAAAATAACGATGATGGACTGAAATATTACTATTTTAAAACAAGACTATTTTTCAAGAGGATGATGTCACTTACTGTTGCTCATCAGATTTGATTCATCTGAACCACATCTAGGTCTGGATCTTCAAAATGGTCTAGATTCAAGTCCTAAAGTCCCTAAATATACACTAAATTGAATGATGAATATCCAACCCTTTGTCAGGCATAATTAAGAAAATTCCATATTATTTTGAGAGAAGGCTTTCAAGCATAGGCTCTAAATTTTCAAAAGAGAAACTATAACCCCTTATTTATGCTTTACTTTGTACGGTTACTGCCTTTGCCTTTTTTTTTTTTTGGGGGAACTAACCTTTGGATTTCTTGGTACCTCATGACCTATACGTATATAAGAGAGATGAACTTTTTGTAACACCTCATCAAAAGAGTTGTCAGTGGAGAATCGAAAGGGGCGCGTATTATGACACGTAAGAAAAAGTCATCCTTATGAAAAGTTAAGAAAAGAAAAAGATAGTGGACCTAAGGTCCACTCAAATAGAGATGGGTTGGTTAAATATTTAGTAATATTATGGCTTTTGAAGTATTTTAAGAAAAGCTAATAGAATGGTCTCTATCGTATATTATTATCAGGAACTTTTACTCAAAATTATTTCTGGATATATATATTTAATATTTTATTATTGTTATTATTATTATTATTATTGTCAGTTCCAAAAATTTCAGGCCGATCGTTACATTCTTCCCCCCTTAAATTTTTTTATAAACATCACAAATTATAATAAATCGTCGTATGGGATCCATATAATATCGCCAATTTATCTATACTAACATCACAAATTATAACATCACAAATTTATCTATACTAACATCACAAATTTATCTATACTAACATCACAAATTATAACATCACAAATTTATCTATACTAACATCACAAATTATAACATCACAAATTTATCTATACTAACATCACAAATTTATCTATACTAACATCACAAATTTATCTATACTAACATCACCTAAAATAAATAAATTACAAATAAACAAAACAAATTATAACTATACTATACTAACATCATTTATCCGCTTATTATCAAGCTCCTGTCATCCCACCAGATTGAAGTTGTGAGTGTTATACCATTTACTAGGAGGGGCCCACTTGAGGGATTTAGGTTGCCCTGCCTTTATTTCTTTTGGAATTGGGCGCAACAATTTGAAATGCTCGTACACCCAACACTGAAATACATGAATAAAAAAAATACAATTAGAATAGGAAATATTTATCGAACTTTATAAAAAAGTATGAAAATACTAATATACTACAATTACCAGCAAAAGAGTGGCTGATCCACTTAAGTGTTGATGGTCAACATGAACAACCTTTGATAAGGCTCGAAACAAAAATACTAATGCAACTGCACCCCATGCATACTGACCAGCTACGTCAATATCCTCAAAAAGTTGTAAGTAGATTGTAGGAATTGTACCATATGTGGAATCCACAACTATTATGCACCCGACTAGATATAAGATGTAGGCACAGGTGTATCGTAGAAGAGTAGTACGGTTATAGTTCTCTGGTATCTGATTAAACGCGTTTCTCAACCATGTCAGTCGGATAAAGGAATGGTTACGACTAGGTGCCAGTTGTCCTATCATGCGGACTATATGTTTCTCGTAGTTCTCCACTCTCCTTACGGTTACAGCTACACCAGGCACCTTTAACTGAAGAATTTTTCTTGTATCTTCAAGTCTAGGCATCATCTCTCTGATGTCAACGTAGTGCCCCGTGCTCGTCTTAAAGCGCCACCTCTCGATGATTGTAGATAATATGTTGCGGTCATGCTGATTCATCAATACTATTGTTAGATGATACAATCCTGATCTCCTGACCAAATCAATTTGGTCGTTGTTTGCTAACAGCCATGCAACATTTGCATTAGGTTTTTCATCAATCCTGAGGGTATTTTTTCGATCTTGAAATAGAATTTGTCATTTCAGATACTTAAAAAAAAAATATTGATTAACTAACATGATAGACAAATAATATATTTTTAAATATTTCTACTTACATCTCCTTCCCATATCCTCTATGGTATAAGTTCTCTTTGTCTAATGAGTAATGAAGGAATCTCAGGACCTCTAGGGAAGGGTGCATCTTCTGCCATGATTACTGTTCAAAAAGCCATCATACATAAAAAATCATTGTACATCAAAAAGCAAAAAATTATTCATTAATAAACATTTTAAAAATAGTAAATGACACAATAGTATGATATTCAAATGTCCTACCAAGTATTCTTTAAATCCCTGATGAATTTGGTACCTATATTTAAAACCACTATATCTGAAACTTACACTCCAATCCAAATAGTAACTCATGCTATCAAAGAACTCATACCATAAAAGTTGAATGCATGACATATAAAGATAATTTACTTAAAAACTGTTGGGTTTATGTGGCCTTTAAAGGCCTTATGAGTGTGTAATGAAAAATATTTACTATAGTGGAATATAAACTCAGTGGGAGTGTGGTCCCTCGAAGACCATACTAAGCAAATGATATCTGTGGATAAAAGACTGTGTTTGACGATCTAGGTCAGTCGTTTGGAAAACCCAAGGTACCTGGGCATTAAAAATAAACCAAGAAGGGTTTTTGGGTTAGCCCCTGATGAGGTCGGAGTTTATGCCTAGATGTGTGAGCTGAGGGACTATGTGACCCTTGTGTGTGATGGTAAGCCCATAGAGACGGGGGCTAAAACCTCATCCATATTCTATCACACGGCATGCATATAGATAGATCGTTCGGGAAAGCTTGATATCCACCTTTGGGTGAAGCATATGCATGTACGACAGATACCCCTATGCGCCATAGAGCTGTGGTCGTATCAAGTCGTGGTGACATTGACTTGTCTCTAGGGGAGGACCTGTAATCCACAGACTGGGATTGCAACTCCTTGGCTCATCAACCATACTTTGGTGACCACCCGCTAATGAGCCACTGCTTGGACTGTGGGTCATGGGAAACACTGGGTCGGTTCGATAAAGCAAGTGTGGTCTGTAGTCTACAGTTGAAGGTGGAGTATCCCGTGATCGTTGATTGAATTCCTGAATCATATGGATCCACTTCCCATCATATTAATTTAATTGTGTTGATTTTATTATTAAATTATTTTAGATTTATTATTTGAATTTTTGTAAGTCATTTGATATTTTATTTTTTATTTTTGGACTTATAAAAATGAAGTTATTAATTTACATAGTTATAATGTTTTAAAATTCATTTTTTTAAATATTTATTAAAAAAAAATACATAGGGGCCCATAATATACATGGGCCCACCATGTGGGTATTAGGTGGGGCCCCATATACCATACATGGGTGGCTCGCCCCACCCTTGGATACCTTATCTTGTTTTGTTTTCAAGTTTGTTAAAAATAGTAACTACATCTTGTAGCATGTGGTCAAATATTGATTAGGAAATATTGACCATATCTGATCTTGATTAGTGAAGGAATGTCTTGACTTTATATTATTGAAATATTCTTATGGAAAATATGAGATGGAATATGCAATTTATGGTATGAACTATATCTGTAATGGAGTTAATTTATTTAAATATATTGATGGGAAAATGGTTTACGAAAAGGGGGATAACGGTTCATACATCTTCCATAATGTTGATGGCTCATCTATAGAATGGATGACTCAGATCTCTCACCCTACAAGTCACCTTGATCAACGGTCCATATTCAATCTCAAGAAAGAGACAAACTATGGGAAACCTTAAATTTCACTATAAATAGGGGTGCTCTCCCCCTATCTCAACCCACCTCTCTCTCTCTCTCTTCCCTAGAGGCCAAGCCCCTCTCTCAACCTAGTTTGGCCGAAATTAGCTTTCCTGATTCGAGTTTGAAGCTAGACTGCTGATCTGCGCTATTGGATGTGGTGACTCGGTGTGGGGTGTAAAAAGCCCGGTTGAGGTAATCTTTAGCATCTTTTCTTTTAATTGTTTGTTCTTTTATTTTATATTCTTAAGCACAGTATTAGGTTGTATGAATAGCATCAAGTAGTTAAGATTTATTTTATTAATGTGTTATTTAATTTTTGAAATTTCTATTGTTTGTAAAAAGACCATCTATGAGTGATCTTGTTGCCAAAATTATAAGGGGTGATTATTAATTTAAAAAAAGAAAAATTGTATGTCCCCAGCAAAAAATTACATATGTCTTTCTTTCAAAAACATGCATTGATGTACATTTATGCCAATTCTATTTAAAAAAGCCTAACTTAGTGTACATTGATATCACAAGCCATACCCTAATCTCGTGAAGCCATACCCCAATCCCCTCAAGCCATACCCCAATCCCCAATTATGACAGCAAATCTAATGCTCTCGCCAAATGTCATAGAACTTATTACAAAACCTGAAAAGCGCAAATACTTAATACTACAATACCAAATTTAACATAAGAAATGTGACAAAAAGAAAAAAGATTCTACCAAGATACTAAACACATTCCCATAAATAAAAGGCACTCAAACACAAATTTATGGTTAAATAACATGCTTCAGAGGCCTACTACCTCCATGAAAATCACACTTCCCTAGAAATGCAATATCCAAACTGAAACAGTTGCACGTGATACGTAACAAAATGCAGAAACATATCAACCAAATAACACTCTTTTTTGAAACAGTACCAACCAAACAACTATTTACATGGAACATGGTTTACAAATCCAAAAGAAACCGGCCATGAAAAGTCCAATTTGACATCATATTAACAGATCCAGGGTTTAAAGGTTTGTAAACACCCTCCCACCCCACACACACAGGTGCAGTAGAATCAATATAAATCTGATATTATTAAAGGTGCAGTAGAATCAATATAAATCTGATATTATTATAGAAAAGTGCACTATCAAATGGGAGCGCTTACATTAGAATGAACTAATTCCGACTCCAAAATAAAACAATCAAAACCATGTGTTTGAACTTCAAATAATAAGTGTAGTGTTCAATACTTGAATTGTTGTACAAATAGACAAACATAAACCATCATTCATGTGCACAATAGATTTTTTGCTCAAATAACCCCAAGATCAAACAATTTCGATGGTCATTAAACTTGATCGATTTGCGAGTCAGGACATGAATTTTTGTAAATGATTCCAATTTATCAAAAATAAGCCAACAACCAATCTATTTTATGGTGAAATAAGAGAGAACAAATATGTTTCACGGATTTTCTATTTTGCTCAAAGGACTCCAAAACTAAACGAAAATCTCTGAAATAAAATACATGAAATTAAATCTTACCTGAAAAAGGTATATGAGGGACAGAGAGATTGGGATTGAACATCAGTAGCGTTGATACGGCACAATGAAGATCGTAAAAGGGATAGCCTCCCCTCTACAGTTAGGGTTTGGGGGTTTATAAGGTGAAAAGGGGATACAAAGTATTACGGTACTATCGGTATCGTAATATCTTGTCAAGGTTATATGGTACAATGTCTACCGTTATTTATTTTTAAGAAATTACGGTAATATAAGTATCGTAATTGTTTTTCATTTTATTACGGTACACTAAGGACCGTAGTTCATTGTTCCAACAATGTATTACGGTACTATAGGTACCGTAATATTTGATTTGTATATTACGGTACTACTTGTACCATAATTTTTAGGTTATTATGGTAAAAAGACTACTGTAAAGAGTATTTTCGTCGGAAAAAATAAGAAATTGGGAAAAAAGGTATGGGCGAGGTTTTGAAAAGTTAGGGGGTTTTTCCCAATTTTTTAAAATTTTGGGTGTATTAACGATAATTTTTCTAAATTTTTTTTTTATTAAAATGTGTAATAATCCTAAGAGTAAGAATTCAAAGAATCACTATTAAATTTAAGACATATCTCTATATAGTTATCATATGGCATGAGATTTGACTTTTTTAGAGATCTGTCTTAAATTTGATTTTTCTAGATATCTGTGTCAAATTTAATGATGATCGTTTTAAGATCCTACCAATTTTAACGGTGATCATTTAAGATCCTACCAATTTGTTTAGAGTTTGAAATGCAGAGGTTTTCCAATAATCGAATTACACTTTAAGACGAGTTATGGGGTACTTCAACCATTTCCCTTCCTTTTAGCAATCCCATTGGCTTGTTCGGTTCGTTCGATTGGGAGAGGTGGGCAGCCTTCAAAGGCTAAGAATCTTCAGTTTTAGCGGCTATTCTGGAGAATCCGCCGAATGGCGGTGTTTCTTCCTTTCATGGCGCCCATGGCGCCTGTTTCCTCTAAATCGCTCTGCGCCGCCTATCCGATAAGTTTGCTAAATTTAGGGAGTTTTACGCCACGCTCTCTCTCTCTATCTAAAATGAAGACACTGACTTCAACTGAAGAACGCGTCTATGTTAAAGATTTGAGGGTTCCAAACGATTGGATGCTTCCCACTAATGCTATCCAGGTGCCATTTTTTCCCTCAATTTTTATATATTTTCTGAATTAATTTTGATAAATTTTCAGCTGAATAATTCTGAAGTTATTTTTCCTTGATAATTTTCAGAATTGTATTTTTCTGTTATTTCTCTTAGGCGATTGCCCGTTGCCAATATCTGTTTAATCTTTCCCCATTTGTTAATTACAACTTAACAAATTTTATTCTTTTTGTTTGTTTATAATTTTCTGTAATTAATTTGCAGGAAATAATAGTGGCTTTTTATCATTTTGCTGAGTATTTCCCCATTTTTAGCTATCAGTATATCACAACTTAATAATTTTTTTATGTGTTGTTCATTTACTTCTTCTTTTTTTTGTTAATTTAACTTTATCTTGAGGCTGATGAATACAGATTTCATTTGAGTAAATACCTGGTAAGCCACTTCTGCTTCCATGTACTGTATATGAGAGGAGTATGGTGTTTTCCTTTTCTTGCAATTGCATGGTGATAGTTAATTACTGTCCTTTCTTATCATGTATTCAAAGCATTGCTCCTTTTAAAGAGCCACCATTCCTTGGAAATGAGATCTTTACTGTGAATCGATCCGCGCTGTAGTATATTTTTTGGATTGTGGGATCATGCCAAGTTATTAATTTGAAAGAGGACTGTATTTTAGAGCCTTTGAGGAGGAAGATTTGAATCATCAACTGTATTTTAGAGCCTTCGAGGAGGAAGATTTAAATCGCCAGTATCATTCTAGACCAAAACTATTTACTCCTAAAAAGTTTAGACCAAATTTATAGAGACATAGATAAATGCTCCTATGGGTTGGTCGAGATGGCCTTCTTCACAGTTTCTTTGGCTTACTTAAAGTTTGAAACTATGATATGATACTTCTTGGGAAGAAATCTGAGATACTTCTTTGGGCCGTTATGAAATCCTTCCAACATGACTGCCACACACACAGACTCGAACACTTGCCCCACGTGTCCGTAAACCATCCATATGCATGCTTGTGTGATAGAGACCAAGGCAGAATTAAGCTTGGTTATAAAATCTTTCATCACAGGAGAAATACGACCCAAGACTACTATGAGAGCTCTCGGATTGGGCTACACACTACAAATTCATGTGAAATTTAAATAAGAAAATGTAGGCATGTAAAAATTGATGTTGGTTTTGTTCCTGGAATATTTAAATGCTTTGAGTACAGCTTAAAAGGCTCCACTAAGGCTCTTTAGTGATAGCATTAAATGTGTTCTTCAAAACCCGAAGGAATATTCTATGGCAATACATGGATAAGAGTTGCTGAGTTAGATCAGCTTGGGACTAGGGTGACTCCTTAACTGTGTCAAATTATTTCAACATTGCCGAATGGTCTGAATATTTATCAAACAAGATGGTAAAATATGATCTTCACTAACATTATTTTTAGGATAGCATGGTGGTTGCGATTTACTGGTTGAATTTATGCCCCTGATTTCAGAAATTCCAAAAAATGACATGCTTGACTGCTATAATTGCTCAAATATGAGAAACTAAAAAGGAACTTGATTGGTCACTTTTTCCTAGATGTAATTTCTATATGCTAGTTCACCGATAAAAATGCAAAAATAGTATAACAACGAGTCAGCGCGAAGCAACAATTGTTGAATATTAATTCGGAGGTCATGAGAAAAATAGAGAGCTGTGTGAGGAACATCGACTTGAACAATTCGTGGTCCTAAATGCATTATCAGAGGTTATCGGAGGAAGTTCAAGTCTTTCTTCTCTTTATCCTTATTGGCTAATTTTGTCAAATTTCGGAGCTGGGGCTGGTCTGACTTGTTGTGAAGGGGATTACATGCAGTAATAACATTGCTCGACACTTGCTGTAAACACTTGCCCACATGGAGATTTCTTTCTGTGCTAGGTATTTAACAGGCAAATGTTTTTCAATTCATTCTGATACTTGTTGAAATGGATAATTTGCTTCTATAGCCCTTGGTCAGATATTTGACAAGGTTTTCTTTGTCACGGTTTCTTAACAATGGCTTTGGAGGTCTAGATATTCAATTCCCCCCTTCTAATCTGGCATATTTTTACATTCGATTTTATCCTATTATAGCGGGTTTATGTTAAAATCACTTGTTAACAAATGGCTGTTATAATGGATTATTCAATTCCCCCTTCTAATCTGGCATATTTTGCATTCAATTTTATCCTATTATAGCGGGTTTATGTTAAAATCACTTGTTAACAAATGGCTGTTATAATGGGCTTATGTTAATTATAACCGATAAGACTGAGTCTATCACGTTCTTTGCTTTCTTGTGCTGAAAGGCCTGTCTATATGTTGTTTCAGACTTAATGCCTTAGCTCACTTGACTTGGGGTTCTGCCACTTCTTGGTTGGGGTGTTGGTGTGTTTTTGCATTTGTTTTAATTTCTGGATTGATACTATGGTAGTTCATGAATGACATAGAAGCAAAGAAACAAAGAACACAATGCACAATAGGGAATGTTTTTTTTTTGGGCAGGTCAGTGGGGGAGAAGGTCCCCTACCCATTTTTATTAATAATGAAAAGAAATGACAGCTCATAAGTTAACAACCGTAGAATAGGGTAATTGTGCCACATTATGAAGTAACTCAATAGAGAGAAAATCTAGATCGCCAAACAGTAGCATTTGAGAAAGTTGTGGCTTTCTTGGCAAGAAAATCGGCCACCATATTCTATGAATATGGGCTATGATCCAAGCACGACCAGAAAGTTTATAACGACAGCTAGCAGCAACAATATTGATTGTCAATGGAGCTTTGCATCGATCACGGATTACATTAACCAATGATGACGAATCACTCTCAATGAAAACAATTGAACTAAATGGCCAGGTCTATGCCTTCCTGTAAGGCATGAAACTCTGCATAGTTATTTGATGCTATTATCAAAGGATTACCAAAAGCTGCAATGAAAGAGCCAGCATCACTTTTGATAATGCTTCCACCACCTGCAAGCTCAGGATTTTTGAAATGAAGCCCCATCAACATTCAACTTGAAATGATTTGGACAAGAAAAAGACCATGCAACTGATAGGGGGTGTTTGATTTTTTTTGTGAGGCCATGTAATCTGGAGGTTGTCAACAATTGCTCTCTCTGATAAGTGGAAGGACCAGGCTTTAGCATCCGCCATCTCTCTTACTTGAGAGGTAATTCTCCTGAGCAAGTGTTCTCGTTTAGACGCCTTCTCTTGGAAACTCGATCATTCCTTTCCTCCCATAATAATCCAAATTGTGCTGAAGAATAAGGACAACCAAACGTTCAGTAGACCTTATGATCTGAATCTAAGGGCAATCCAGGTCCTAAGCATAGTTGCAATTGATGTGTCTGGAATAAGTCTTTTACCACATCTCCGTGCAACTAATCTCCTAATACTCTGTGAGAAGATACAATGGAAAAGAAGGTGGTAAATACTTTCATCATTAAAATGGCAATAGGGACACACTGGATCTGCAAGGATCCCTCTTTGTTGTAAAAGAGAGAAAGTAGGAAGTCGATGATGAATAGCCAGGCAAGAAAACCATTTGGCCCTGGGGTGACACTTTGAAGACCACAAAGATTTGAAGATTGGTTGAATGGTACCCCTGTGCCGAATAAAATTCCACGCGTCCTTAATAGAGAATGATCCATTAGAAGAATGAATTCGTACCAAAAAATCTCATTGTGGCTGTAATGGAATTGCAACTGCTTCAATCTCCTTCCAAATCCTAAGCAAAGGACCAAAGGTGGGAGAAGGAAGTGTCCAAGTCTGAGGGGAGCCCTGCAAATAATAAGCTACCTTAGGTTTACCAAAAACCCTAAGGTCTCTATGAACCTAAGCACCATAGGACTCCTAAATAGTTTTATCTGATAACCAAGGATCCGTCCAAAAATCCACTGTCTGGCCGTTCCCAATAAGCCATCTGATGTCCAATATAAGATAATCCCATTTGAATCCCCTTCCATGCGTATTAACAATTTCTATTTTTAGAGTCCCATATAGACGAGCCCTTGAAGTATCTATGCTTGAAAAAACATGAAATGAGGGAAGAAGTCTTCAAACCAGTTTCAACATGCATGCAATATGGAATTTTGAGATATTACGAATACCCAATCCGCCCACTTCCGTGGTTTGACATATTGTGCTCCACTTTATTAAATGAATCCCATTTTTTTCAACAGTACTTGCCTAGAGAAAATTTCGCTGCAGCCTCTCTATTGTGTGGCATGTGTGCTTGTGTAAAAGAAAAGAAAGAATCCAAAAAAATAGCCGAAGAGTGAACAGACTTCAAGAACTGAAGACGACCTGCATAGTATAAAGAGATTGCCTGCCATGTTTCAATCTTGCCAATAATTTTACCCACTAGAGAATGACAGTGTCGATGCTTCAAACTACCATGAAAAAGACGCAAACCCAAATAACGAAACGGAAGAGATCCTTTGCCAAACCCCAGTTCCTTTAGAATTATATGCTTTAAGCTTGGTGATACCCCAAAAAAGAAGACCTTGCTTTTTGCTACATTAAGTTTTTGCCCTGTAGATTTCTCAAAAATTGAAAGGATGCAATTTATTGCAGAAGCCGATCCAGAGGATGCTTTACAAAAAATTACTGTATCATCTGCATAAAAGAGATGAGATATTCCGAAATTACAATCAGAAGGAAAAGCCACTGGGAGCATACCTTGCTTGTTAGAGAAATCCCATTGTCTGCTAAGAATGTCCATAACCGCTCTTCTCTCTGCAATAGGGAAGTTGAAGATAACTAGTTGCATTATATGCATTCCACCATGCTTAACATAATCTTGTTCTTAAAGTGAGTTGATTTTTCAGAAATTTTAATTTTTTTCTTTTTTTAAAGGAAAATCTCAATAAACATAAAGAAGCATAAGGGTATATAATAACACAAATAATACTTTTGAAAATAGGAAAAAAGGAAAAAATTGTTCCTCTTTGTGCATTTGTCTAGTAAATGGAACACTATAGTTCTCTCTTTTCCTCTCATCTTTCCATGGACTTGTACAGGAATCTGAGTGGCTAAGACTGACTCTGCACAAGTGGCTGGATGACGAGTATTGCCCAGAGGCTGCTAATGAAGAAATCAGTAAGCGGGCTTCTAAATCCTACCACGAATCTCTGATGGAAAAGCACTCGGACATTGGGGAGATACTCTTGAAGATGGCAAACGATTTGCAATCTCTCTCGTTCAAGGAAAGTTTCCATGGTGCCTTCTCAGCTGCCAATGCAGCTATCCATCTCATAACTGAAAGAATACATTCACAAAGTAAGTAGAACTTCCTCTTCTTTCCTCTCTCTCAGGATGATGAAGTTTATGTGGGGTTTTCTGTATTGGTAACTTGTTTTTCACATAATGTATATACTTGTGATGTTAGTTGATTGATGTGCATGGAAGGATGAAACCTTAAGATTAATTTGTGCAAAACTAGGAAACGAGGTTATTTGGGTCAACTTCGGTAAGTGCAGGTTAGTGTTGATCGATATATGAAAGTAGGAAAAATAAAAGTTTATACGATGTACGGTGCACCTCAAAACCCATCACAAATGGTTGTTTTGGCACTTGAAAACCTTTAAATTCATCATTTCGACCTCAAGATGGGTGGATTGAAAAAAGAGAAGAAGAAGATTTCAAGCCCTAAAATTAATGCATCTAGTAATTTTCATATTTTAATTTTCAAGCCCTAAGATTTCAAAATGGTAAATTTTCATATTTTAATTTTCTCATACATTAGACATTGTTGTCAATTTATCATGTATAACATTTTATTTCATTCGTCTTTTAAATTATGGATAATTTGAATTCATGTTTACTGATCCTTTTATGTTTTCAATTTATTAAATTCCCAAAATTATTCAATAAATTCCAAGAAAAGAGAATCGTATAATGTCCCTATAT